CTCCTCCTGGGCCTGGGTGAGCTGTGCCGTGCCCTCCGCCTGGCGAGCCCGCGACGCCTGGACCAGCTCTTGGCCTCGCTGCACAAACTCTGAAAGTGGAATAAGCCAGGACGTCACAGGCGGCTCTCCCGGCAGAACCTCCCTGGCTTCTTCTGCCAGCACCAAGAGGGGCGCCGCTGAGGGGCGAACCCAGTTTATTTCAGTTTCATTATTCGGGCACACGTGCTCCAAAAGGCCGGTGTCAGGAGCCCAAGGCCCTCATCAGAGACGGCGGGAGGGAGAGAGCAGGGAGAGAGGCCTTAGAAGAGATGTGAGCGTGCGCTCTCCACCACGTCCTGCTGGCCAGGAGTGGGCCCTCCCGGGGAACCAAATCTGGGCACACCGAGTTGGACTTCCAGCTTCCAGAACAAATGTCTGCTGTCCGGGCCCCTGTAGGTACCATCTTGTCACCGTGGCCCGAGCCAAGACACCCGGAGACTCCCCGGTCCTACAGGATCCAGGCCAGTGTGGGGGTCAGAACCTGCTGGGGGACTCGCGAGGCACACAGATGCCCTACAGATGCCCCGACGAGACCCGAGGGGCCCCGGGCACACGCAGCCTTGGGTCAGCACCAATGGGCTCTCTTGCCCAGGCTGTGAGGAAGCGGGCGCAGAGGGGGGCCCTGCCCTACAGGGAGAAGGCCAGGTTGCTTCCTGCAGCCCCACCAAAGGTCTGACCTGGACTAAGCCTCGGGTGCCCGGATGTCTTCAGCCCTCACCTGCCACTTCCCAGACGGCCGAGCAGCAGGAGTGTGCGGGAAGCGGCCACACGGGTGCCCTCTCCTGCCTCGCACACCCCACCCGGCATCTCAGGGCCCGTGGCTGGTGCAGGGCTGCGGGCACTGGGCACTTCGCCCTCCTGCCCTCTGCATGTTCCTGGTGGCTCTGCCGAGAGACCCTGGGGTCCCCGTGAGCCGGAATCACCGACGAGGAAATGGAGCAGGAGAGCCCGCCAGGGAGGCAGCCCTGTTTACCCCGATCTACGGGGAAGGCAAGCGAGCGCAGAGCATATAAGGGGCTGGTCCCCAAGGGCAGAACTGGGACTCTTGCTGCCCCCAGCCCGGCCCCCAGGCCCTGCGGAAGCCGCTCACCCCTGCTGAAGCGCTCGGCCTCCTCCCAGAAGGCCTTGTGCTGCTGGGTCAGCAGCTCCTCCTTCTGCCGCCCGGACAGCCGGCCCTGGGCGGCCAGCAGGTCCAGGCTGCGGGAGATGGCGGCCAGCCGGCACCTGGTCTCCTCCTGGATCTGCAGCCTCAGGAACTCGATCGTCTTCGCCATGTGCACGCGGCCCATCGTTCTCTCCAGGAGGTCCTGAGGGGAGAGGCACCAGACGTCAGGTGGGGCATCTGGGGGCGGCGCTCGGCCACGGGCTCCGTCCTGGCCCCACACCTCGCTGTGCGCTGAGCACAGACGGAGTAGCTCCCCTCTGAGCCTCCCGTGTCTGCCTCTCAGATGGGGGCCCCGTGGTCCCTCGTGGGGACGTGGCGAGGCGGACACGGAGAGCACACGCAAAGCGCTTCGTACATACTGAGTGCTCCCCCGAGGGCCGCTCTTCGGGAAGGAGTTCAGTGCACGCCTATGACCACAGCCACGCCTCCCGCAGCCACCGGGCCTCGGCCGCCACAGCCCGGGAAGCGGCACAGGGAGAGTCAAGGTCACAGGAGCCAGGGCTTCTGCGCTCAGAGCCCGGGTGCTGGGACTCAGAGACTGAGGGGGCGAAGCCCAGCGTCAGACCTTAGGACCGCCCACCTTGTCCTGCACGTGGTCGTGACTTAGGGCAGGACTCCTGGGAGAGACACCCCGACCCCCACCCCACGCAGGAAATGAGGACTACAGGGCCGGGCCCTGCAGGGCTGCCTTGCTGGTCCTTCTGTCGCAGAGACGAGATGCCCAATGAGTGGGGCTGTCGAATGAGAGAGTGAGGACGCCGGAAGGAGCAGTGTCAGCATCACCGTCATCGTCACTGCACTGGCCACGTGGACCACGTGAGAGCTGCAGGGCTGCATCCCTCCCCACCCGCCACCCGGCTCGGGAGGCCTGAGTTAGCCCGGCCCCTTCACTGCCTGCAATCCTGCCCCGTTCAGATCAAGGCCTGAGTTCCCTTCCTGCCGACTCACAGTCACTCCTGCCCTGGGACCGAGCCTGGCCTCCCAGCCTCCACCTGTCCCCTCACACTCGGCCCCGCACGGCAGCGGGCCTTTCTGAGACGCAGACGTGGCTCCCGAGTCCCCTGGCCCCAACCCTCTCTCACTGCCCCCAGACCGAGTCCAAACTCCCGAGCTTGGGGCACATGGCCTTCAGGACCAGCCTGGCCTCGTCCCCAGCCTGGCCCCACACACCTGCCGACTCCTGGCCGCCCAGAACACGGGCCTGCAGCTCCGCCAGGCCTTTGCACACGGGCCTCCTCCTGGGCCACCTCCCTGCCTCCTCGCACTCACTCCGCAGCTTGGCCGGGCCCTGCTCGCCCAACAGGCTCTGATCTAAGGAACCGACTGGAGAGCCCTGACGCCAGGAGCGTATCTGAGCCACCCACTGCCCAGCCTGGCCTCACTGAGGCTGAGCCGCACTGGGGGGTGGTTCTAACAGCGTGTGGACGGGGGATGAATGACGATCCCCCGATTCTGGACAAGGACGCTGAGGTCTATCCCGGAAGGCCACATAACCAGCCCGAGGGACAATGGCTGTGAACCTGCCTCCTTCAGTGCAACACCTGCCAGCAGTCAGGGCCCATGGCCACTAGAGGGCGCAGGAGGATAAGCGCAGGTGCCCCATGGCAGGGCCCAGGCAGGGCAGCGGCCGGACAGCCACCTCTGGTTTAGCTCACGGAGGCCCTCCAGGCTCCTAGTGGCAGCACAACCTTTATGGCCTCTTCCAGGGCTCTGTTCTGAGAGTCCCCGAGGCCAGTGCCATGTTCCAGGGCCACCTGCCCAGGCCAAATGCTCAGACACCAGCCCAAGCACTGAAATTCCGGAGTTTATCACAGCACATTCCTAGATACGTCACGGGGTGCGGGGGGGGGGGGGGGGGGGATGTGAGTGCAGGGAGCTAACCATCCCCCTTCCCAGGCAGCACTGCGGTGCCTTCTTTGTCCATTGTACCCGCCGACATGTGGCCGGACATGCGCACTTCCCACGTGAGATCAACGTCCTGTCTGATCTCCGACACTCTCAGAGCAGGTGCCACTCCGATCCCATTTTACAGATGATGAAACTGAGTCACAGGGAGGCTTAGTAACTGCCGAGGTTGCACGGCTAGGAAGTGGCAGGACTGTGGTCTGTGCTCAGGTTCCTGGCTCGAGTCTGCAATACGGTTTCTATAACATGACACGGCACATAGTAGGTGCTCATTAAATGTTGGCTGAAGGAAGAGCCTACTGAGAACTCGAATAATTCATTCCCTCCTTCCTACTTGGCTAATTCTTGGGCCAGAGTCAGCTAAGGCTACACTGTGTTTTTTTGTGTGTGTGTTTTTTTTCTGCATCAATATCGTGCTGACAGGATAATAATTAAATAAAGAAAAAGGAGAAAAGGAAAGTCGTTTTCCTTTGTTGAGCGTCCATATCAGCAGCCGGATCAAATTAAAGTCCAGCTCAAAGGGGCTTGGACGGCCAACCCGGAGGCCGGGGGCGCAGGCTCGGCCACGCCGTTAGGCAGGGAGGCCCAGGTGCGTCACAGCCGGCTGCTTCCTGCCTCTTCCAGCAGGGCCCAGGCGGAGAGGGGACTGTGTACAGGACGGAAGCACACAGTGTTCCCTGGCGGCCGTGTGCACCCGGCGTCTGTTAACGCGCACAGTGGATCTGGGCGTGCGGGGAGGACCTGCGTCTCTAACCAGCTCTCAGGGGACGCGGAAGCCGCTGGTCTGCAGCCACACTCGGGGCAGATGGTTGTGGAGAAGCGGCAGGAGTCGCTCTGGCTCCTCAAGACCGGCTCCGCGGGTCTGAGAGCTGAGTCTGCGCTGGGGGCAGGGCGGCCGCTAGAGGGTTCTGAGCCGCGTGTGACCTGGGCAGGCGCACGGGTCTGAAATGTAACCTACGAGTTCCCAAGGCCAGAGGGAGGGGAGATGGGTGGGCCGTGCCCCGGGCCTTGCACACAGCAGGGTGAGCCCAAAACCTCCGCAGAGAAACCCCCGGGTGATTAACGTGTTACAGGTCACGGAGCGCTTCCCCGGGCCTGTCTGTGACAAGGCCCAGGACCACCCTTTCATAAACAGAGCAACTGGAACTCAGAGAGGTTAAGTAACCAGTTCCAGGTGACACAGCTGCAAGGGGCTGGGCCTAGCAGGTGGATCTGCAGCTTCTTCGGCCCCAGTGGTTTGCATCCCCAGCTGCACCTCAGAATTGTTTGGGGAGTTTACACCCAGCAGAACCAGGGCCTCTGCCTCGCACCAGACGGGGCCGCTGGGCACGAGGCCCAGGCGCAGACGTTGCTGGAAGCTCCCTCGGTGGCTCGGGAGGCAGCAGGAGAGCAAACCAAAGCTCCATCCACCAGTGGGCGTCAACCCCGACTGCTCGCCGTGGTCACCGGAGCTCCAACCCCAGGCTGAGTAACTCAGGCTCTCGGGTGGGGGCTCATCTGGGACCCCAGCATCAGTGCCTTTTAAAGCTCCCAGATCATGTCAGTGTGCAGCCAGCGGGGAGACACAGAGCTCCGTGCTGCGGGACATGGAGCGGCCGCATGGTCACCGGACCAACCCCAGGCTGAGTAACTCAGGCTCTCGGGTGGGGGCTCATCTGGGACCCCAGCATCAGTGCCTTTTAAAGCTCCCGCCGGATGTCAGTGTGCAGCCAGCGGGGAGACACAGAGCTCCGTGCTGCGGGACATGGAGCGGCCGCATC